CTGAATACTTATGACCAAAGCATAAAGATCACAAAATAAGTGAAATATGTTTGCCCATGTAAGACAGAACGTGGTCTGATGCTGCTGGTGGTGCTGTTGCTCCCCCTTCTGTCCTTTACTCCTGTTATACAGCACTATTCTAGCACCCCCATGTGGTTAAACTGAAACCTTGCTGTCACTCTTTCAAACCACCTTTACACTAAATGTTGTATACAGCAATGGATATATGTAACTTTAAAAAATGGTCTTCATAGATAAAATAATATGTTTTGTTTTTTCACAAGAACCTAACAGACATCTTTCTTGTCCCCAACTCTGGTGTCAATGCTTAGTCTATTCCTCCCCAGTCAGCCTCTTCCTACACCTGCATGTTACCTCCATCCCCCTCTGCCCCGCGCAGCTTTGACTCATCGGCATACTCCTCCCCTCATCTGCAGACTCCACCCTCAGCCAACTCCAACACCGGTGAGTGTTTCTGTATGCCCGCTTCTTACCGCTGACTGTAAGTGTAAAACCAGCCACAAGCTGCCTGACCGACTCAGTTTTCTTCTTCACTTCCATTCAGGGCTCATATCACCTGGTGTTTCAGTCCCGGTCCAGGTCCCAGGAACTGAGCAGCAGAGCATTGGTCAGTACTGGGCCAGATTACAGTGAACAACAGACAATCCTGCCAACTGGAAAAACAAAAGAAGAAGGAATTTTTGTTAAAAGGGGGGTGGGGGGTGTCATGTAAAAAAGTGTCAAGAAAACAATTTTTGGGACACATGGGTTTTAAGGAACGACGGGACTGAGTTATAGAGGGGGTCTTGATGAGTTACAGACCCCAAAATGCATTAAATGTTTACAAACTCAGCCAAGACCAGCTTTGGTTGCACTTGACAGTACTCTGGTCACACTGGTATGTACTTAGTATTAGCAGGTTGTACTTTTTTCAGGTCAGGATTAGACATAGTCTGACACTAATCACCTTATATTATTTAAGAATTAGCAGTGGGCTCGTTGAAAGATTTACCTTATTTTATTGTGTTGAACATTACTGTCTAAATCCCTAAAGGCGCTGAGAGATGCAGCTGAAAGCTCTGAAAAGCCAGTAAGTGGACTTTTGATCTTAGATTATTTTGTTATGCCTGTTTTAACAAAGTCCAACAGGAGACTGCTTTGACGTTTGAATTAAAACAGTCTAGAAAGTTCTCAGCTTAATGAACTTAAATGTCTCCCACTTCTATTTAAACACTTTTTGGGGAAAAAACTATGACATTTTGGGTTATAATTCTAATTCTATCACAAAGAAAAGCTTCAGTGATTGATTCAGTATTACTAAGTAATGCCAGCAGATTATCTGTACTGTGAAGTGTGGCCACAGTTTCTTGTGGAGCAGCTCAATGATGTTGTATAGCTAGTCTGTTCCCTAAGCTGTGAGGCTACTGTGAAGATCTCAGACTTGCTTATGGCCGTCACTTTTACTTAAAATCTTACCATAAAAAGATTAAATCCTCCTTGTCCTGCTTGAAACATTACACCAAGACTGCATATTGTAATACAGACATCTGTGTATAATGAAGAAAATTGTGGAATATTGTTATTGGAGGGAAGAATGTAGCATGTGGACTCAAATCATCCTCAAAGCACAAGTTTCAGAATAAAATATTAGGGAATCACCATATCAGTACTGGTATCAGATGTTAAATATTACAGAATACTCACAGGTATTGCAGATCTTTGCCAGAATCTACAGTAAAGCAATTTAATTTCTTTTATGAGACAGAAGGTTTTAAATCTGATCTAACAAAAAGAGTTTAGTAGACATTTTTGGCCTAGCAATCATTGCCGAGCATACCAGGATCGGCGGTGCTTTTCTACATCACTAATGAGACACACCCATCAGCCAGTGACAATCAAGCATCATTACACATCCAACAGAAAAGAGGCTGCCTTCAAACCATCAAATGTGAACATATGCTAGACTGACAATCAAAAGGGGAAAAAACTGTGAAACACTGTCCATACAATATCGATGGCTTTATCAACTGTGCATGACCAAAATAAGCTGCTACAGACAATCAGATGCTTGTAGAAACCAGTCGAGCTTTGTACAGAAATTGTTACCGCACTTTGCTCATGTTCCTCTGACTACTGGTTTTGTTGATGCATCTCAGTTTGGTATCTTATGAAATGTCTTTCAGACATCCTATTTCCTATTTATTTGTCTTTTCACTCATTCACATAAGTCCTCTGTGCTGTTTTTCTCGTTCTTTGTTGTGTGGTGTTCGTACTGTATAGCTACCAAGAGTCAACCCTTTTGTGAAGGCCTTGGGTCCCTTTAATGAAAATAAAACTCTGTGGCAAGAAAATAATTTCAAGGACATTTATTTCTGATGCTGTTTTATTTTACTCATCTGTGTGGTTGTCACATACACATGAAAGTATGAATTATGGCCTAAAGCAGCTCTTACCATAATCATTTCATATTTACTGTGTTGTTCTCTCTACCTTCATGCTTTCCACTGGTGTAGCGACATGAAGTGGACATGATGGAAACTGGACATCCAGCAATTCGTGCTAATGGCATGACTCACTTGGGCCCTGGAGGATAGACAGAAATTAAAGATGAGAAAGGGAAGGAAAGATAATACCAGTGATGCTTTGCGAAGAGAGTGGACACACAGATCTATGAACATAATGGTGCTCTAAGATGCTATCTGAGATGCCAGGGTACTTCAGCTTAATGCAGCATCATCAGCAGAGACAAAGAGACAATTTCCCTCCAGTGTTTATAAGTGTTTATGTTGAATAGCTCCTGTTAAAAATGGGAACTACCTTTAAAGCTTCGTTTTAATCATTTTCTACTTAGATTGAACCAGACTTCACCCTGTTTTTGTTTGTTTTGTAGAATGAACTCATACCAAAATGTCGCTTTTAGTTTATGTACAGTATATGCTTTAATACAAAATGAACATGTAAAATTTAAAAATTATATTTGAAAATGCACAAAAATTTACAGTGACAAACAATTTTCAGCATCCTCCAAAGCATAACAGTGTATATACCATATATTATGCAGTTGAATACATTGTACAGTATTTTATCATAGCCTAATTTATAATGAATATCTGAATATTAAAAACAATAAGAATCGATGCTGTATCTTTTCAGACTGTACATGCCTGTTTTCTGATACAAAATAATTAGCCAAAGACAGAAAGAGAGCAGAAGACACAAAGCCTCACTGTGGGAACAGATCAGCAAGCCAGTGTGAATGCCCTAAAACAGATCTTGAAAGTCACTTAGACTCAAGACCAGAAGGCTGGGATTTGTGGTTGCAGGGCACTTCGGGTCAAAGTTCACTGTTAGGACATACACATGATTATCTGGCTTGAAGCCATGTGCTCTTGAGGCAGGTGAACAAATATGAGGAACCCAAATGGAAATGATCCCTATATTGTTGAGTTGAGTCCAGAAGGGGACTGGTGTCCATGTTCCATACAGTATAGAGTCTGTGTTTCTACACAAACCTTTTTGATAAGGATCCCTGTGACCCGGCAATGTGCGGTACAGGTGAACACTTATACACTGATACAAATACAGAATATCTTTAAAAATACTATCTGCCAGTACATCAGCCCAGCCCAGCTGATGTACCAGGAACAAATCCCTCAACACACGTATATGAACCAATCCATTTATTTAGCAAACATGTACAGATACCAACTCAACTGGAAAGTAAAGTTTAATCGCTTAACTAGTCGGCCCGATAGAGAAGGAGCTCGCTGTCGCCGTCTTGTTTCACTTTAGGCTGTGCAGAAATACTACATTTATAAGGCTGAAGCTTCTGGGTGCACAGCAGGAGCTATCATCTTCTCACCTTCTGTACCTGTCGGCACCAACGCGCCCTGCTCTTTTTGGTCATGCATTACGCATGTGGCGCGGGCGCAGAGGCGAAGTTCTTAAATGAAGAGAGTGAAAGCAACTTCCGACAATTTGCTATTCTGTCAGTGAGGGAGGGCAGAGACAAAGAGACAGAGTCGACTTATCGATCAGCCCAGCCTAGACCCGAGAGAGCCCATTAAAGCATCAGAGGAGAAGCAACGGTGAGCTGTGTTTCACTTCTCTTTTCCAAGAATTAGAAATAAGAGATGTTTCTGTTTCCTCCAAATGATAAGTTTCCTGATAATAACGGAACGTTTTTGTTTGTTTGTTCGTTTGGTTTTGCAGTGAGTGGAATGGAGCTGGGTGTTCTACTGTGGATGGTTCTGACCTTAATGGGAAGCACAACGGCACAGCACGACCAGTACAGCGGGGCCGTGGTGAGTAACAAATATCAACGACAAAAAAAAAGCTTTATCTGTGTCTGGCTGCTTTACAGCTGCTCTTTGATTTTGTATTAGGCCTATGGTGTGACTGAGTGCACTGTTTGACCGCCGTCATATTCAATTTCTAGTGGAAGAAAAATGATTTTATGATTTATTTTTTTGTACTAGAACCATTGGATTTTCACAGGTGTGAAAATTGGCTTGGATGTGTAGCACCTTGTTAGTGACATTTTCTTTAAATTTTGAGGAAGAATTTTACATAGTCATGCCAGGTCGGTATCAAAAATTTATATATCTAGTAGAGTTTTAGGGAAACTATTTTATTTGGATTCATGTGTTTTTATACCCTGACTGGCTGGTTGTTGACCTGTTCAGCCACATAGACTGATATGAGATGTGTCATATGGAGGAAATGACATATGGCAAAGAGAGCAGCTGGTGCACATATGGTATTGTCCACATCAGTCATGGGGTTTATATAAAGAGCTGGTATTGAAAAAACACAAATCTTTATGCAGTGTAAAAAATATTCATACGTATTAAGCTACAATAAAGTGACATGGAGTGATAATCAAGAACTTAAATCTCAGAAGGCAACACAATGAAAATGTGACTTTCCCATGTGAAATTCACACTTTCTCAGAAAACACTTTTACGAAAGACTTATTTTGAAATACTGCCTAATTTTACACAACGTCGCTGTGAGAAAAGCATGACAAAAC